TGTTAAATACAGGTATTTAAAATAAAACAAGACACAAAAACCAACACCTCCCGCCCCCCCAAACACAAAACATCTTGGACTAGTTCCATATGTTTCAGGAATCTGTTCTTTAGGATGCTTCTTCTACTTCTTGAAATAGCAGCAGCTTTGTTACAAATAATTTAATATCTGTAAACTTCCTCGATGAAGCTGAAGAGTTTAAGCTTGTAGTATACATCCTCAGCTCCATTCTCCCAATGCTATCAGGGGATTTCCTCAGCCTGTCAAGCCAAGGTATGCCAAGATGCTTTAGTTCTTGAAAGCAGCCCAGGCACTGCACAAGACACATAGGATCACCTTAAACTTCCAGCATGTATGAAAGAGAATTCCTAAACTTCTCTCTAGGTGATATATAGGTATCTTACACCTATATACATCTAGAACAGCTGGGTACTGGGTCTGTGCAACACAGGGCAGGGATAGTCAAAATGCTTTTATTCTATACCCTATTCTTACAAGGACTTGCATCTCACAGATGTTTCCCATACAGCTAGAACCATTCCTAAATGAGTTAATTAAGTGGTCTATAGCAGCATAAGGTCAGTGGAAGCTCTGAGTAAAGCTCCTCTTGCTAAAGGCAGCTTAACTCCAGAAAACTGATCTGAAGCTCAAAGGCACAAATGCAAGAATGAATCTGTGCTACACCCTGCACTGCAGGATGGATGCCTCTAAGCAGAAAGCTTGGCCTTTTTGCACCCCCCTCCCCCAACCTCTCCTTTAAGAAATACACTATACCCATTTACAATAAATACATCTTCAAGTTACAAAAATAAATGCATTCATCTGTTCCTTTAAGACATAAGGTAGGACCCATAAGAGCCTACAGAGGCAAGTTAAGTTAAATATTGCACAGAAGCCCCAGCATTACACTTTAAAGTCAAATGATGGTACTGGTGGCAGGAAAGGGAAGATGGTTTCATTTGACATGAAGCACACTCCAGTCCCCACCACTGTACAAGCAGCTTTGCCAGTCTGAGGTAGAATGGCCACCACATGCTGTTTAAAACTCTATTCTGTCCTGCTCAACTGATGTCCAAAATAAGAAGGGAAGCATTCCAAGTAGAATTGCCTCCTCCCCCATTAACAAAAGAAAACAAAAAAGTTAATGCTTGCATCAATTCTCAGAACCAAATCTTACAGATCTTAACTCAACCAGCCTAATCCCTAAACCAGCTAGGAGACCAGCAGTAGCCACCTGGTTTCCACAGGTAGCAAGTGGGAAAGCTGTACTGACCCTACATCACTAACTTTGCCCTTCCCTGCTCCCGCCCCCCCCAGTTCAGCATTTCATTGGAATTAGAAAGTGTGTCCTTATTTTTCTGCCCCTTGGGTCTGTTTGCCATTTCCAAAGCACCTCCTATTTCAGTCCCTTGACTTCTGACAGATGTTCACCTTCCTCTAAAGACTCCTCCTTGTGGCACAGACAAGGTAGGATAGAAATGAGGGCCTCCTCAATGGAAAACAAGTGCTCGTCCTCCACCTGGGGACAGAAGTAGCGCATGAAGTCCGCCAGCTGTAGCAAGTACTCTATGTTGTGGCCAGCACGCCCACTGGAGACTATGATTTGAGCAGCAATGTCCTCTTCAGAGGCTGGACCAAGGTAGGAGGGATTCTGGGGTGTGGCAATGTAAACCAAGGCCAGAATGGGCTCATCAGCATCCTTCTCCAGGGGGTAGAACTTCACCAGCTTGGTATCGTAGCCCCCGAGAACAGCTTCTCGCATGTTCAGGTACTGGAGTGATGCAGCGATCTGCTCCCCGCAGACATGGTAGGCAACGCCCCATGTGCAGGCCTGAAATTGCAAGCAAGGGGGATTATTTGATGCGGCAGAGCAGAGAGCAGCCAGGCGGGATAGGACCTCAGGAGGTCATCTGATCCAGCCCAAGGGGGGCAGGGCCTGCAATGCAGGGGGAGCTTGGACACCCCATAGCCGAGCTGCCTGCATCCCAGGGGAACAGGGCAGCAGACGAGGGGCCCCAGGAGGGGGCAGTGGACAGGGTGTCATCCCCCCCCCAAAGCAACCGGGATGGTCAGAGCATCCTCTGCATGAACCACACCTCCCGCCCGCCCGCACTCACCTCGTGGTCCTCCAGCAGGGTGGCCACGCGCCCGGGCTGCGGGAAAGGCACAGGGTTAGTGCGGAGCCGCTGCGGAGGCACAGCCCACCCCGCCCCCAGTCCCATCCCCATCCCCGGCCCCG